TGCACGGGCCACGGCGCGGCCGATGCCCGAGCCGGCGCCGGTGACGAGAGCGATCTTCATCGCCATCAGTTGCCGATCGGCGTGACCAGCGTGCGCTGCACCCAGCCGCTGAAGTTGGCCGAGTCGACCTTGACGAAGCCGTCCTTGACCTCGCCGGTGGCGACCAGTTCATCGCTGCGGTTCAGCGTGGCGACGACCTTGCCTTCGCGCGACGGCGCTGGCGTAGGCCTTCACGTTGGAGATCTTGGCCGCGAGCATCTGGCCCGCCGGGATGGGCGCACCGGCCTGCGTGGAGCCGGCGGCATTGGCGTCGCCGGAGGCGCTGCTCGTGCGGATCAGGCTTTCTTGGTCGCGGATGGTCAGCACGATCTTGTTGTAGTTGTCGAGGAAGCTGGCCGCGATGAGCTTGCCTTCGGCCGTGCTGGTGTAGCCGCCCATGCCGCCCACCGCGCCGCCGCCGAAGCCCCAGCCGCCGATGGAGAAGTCGGTCTTGCTGGCCTTGCCTTCGGCCGCCAGCGACCTGGATGCTGGAGCGCACGTCGGCCAGCAGCAGGCTGGTGGAGGCGTCCTTGAACTTCAGGCCGCCGGCGATCGCGCCGACGATGCCGAGCTTGCCGCCCAGGAAGCCGCCCAGGCCGCCGCTCGTGTTGGCGCCGACCTGCACGTTGGGCGTCATGACGAAGTCGGCCGCCTGCATCTGGCCCTTGCCGACGTTGGACTCCTGGCGCATCTCGCCGGCCGCGGCGAGCGAGCGCTCCTGCTGCAGGTTCTGCATGGCCTGGCCGCGCTCGACGACGTCGAAGCAGCCCGAGTTCTGGATCATCATGCGCAGCAGCGACGCCGGGCGAGCCCAGGCCGTACTGCGACAGGTAGTTCCAGCCATTCTGCGGCTCGGCAACGGCGAGAACGCCGAGCTTCTTGGGGCACTTCTCGACAGTGGAGCCGGCGTCTTCGGCGCGGGCGGTCGTCGAGGCGGCCAGGCCGGCCACGAGCAGCGCGCACAGGGTCTTGTTCATGTCTGCATTCCTCCAGTTGACTTTTGGCAGCCTGCGATTGTGCCCAGTGCGGGCCGGCCGGCGCATCCGCAGACCACCGGACTGGTGTCGCCCGGATCAGGGGCGCAATGCGAGCCGGTGCCGGGCCTCACCAGGCAGGAAGGGCAGCGGCTCACCGGCCAGCCAGGCGGCGTGGTCGCCTGCGGTAGAAGGGCGACATCGGGTGGCCGCTCTGCCCGCCGGGGATGACGAGGATGCCGCGCTCCTCGTGCCCGGGCGACACGACCATGCGCTCGCTCTGCCCATGCCCGTGGTTGTGCACCCGAGGCATGTGGCTGTCGCCGGCCATGCCCTGGCTGGCCTGGTCGAGCCAGCCTCCCAGCGCCGGCACGGCCAGGCTCAGCGGGTGGCGCATGCT